GCAGAAAATACGCAAGGTGGGCCTGCATTTAGATAATCTAGAAACTGCTAATAATTTCCCCTTTGCTTAGCTTTCCTGATGCTAGACTCAGGTTGAAGGCTGAAGCAATGTTACAAGTCAGGGGCAACTCTAGATAATGACACAAGCAGGACTGGCAGCGTATCCCGGGCTTGAGGGTGGTAGCACACACTTAAAATGTGTAGCCAGCAGGAGGCGCTTTGTCATCCTTGTTGCTCTCCAAGGAGAAGGGAGGAATGCGGACATCAAAGTGGGAACCATCAGTTCTTTCGATGCGAAACGTTCCCCTAAAACAACAATAATAAAAACACTAAGTGAGAAAAGCTGAAAATACTTTGGATTTTATAGCATGTGAAGAAAGAGGTAGATGTAGACTCACCACATATGACCACTTGGGGCTTGTAGAGACACGTGGCTGCTGTATTGGAAGGCTGGCTGTTCTTTAGACAACACCGGCTCCTGTTAGGCAAGTACAAAGAGCTGAGCATTTCTAAACAAACGCGACAGTCTCCTCCTCACAGCCAGGACGACAGTCTGTTCATTCAACTCTGGAATCAGATCAAAATACTAACAGACAAGCGGAGCCAAGGCATCTGTATCATATCAGAACTGGGGTCTTGAAAAGATTCATCATTCATACTCTGGTGTTGAGGCCTTTGCAGCAGTCATGCATGTTTATTTTTAATATGATATGTAATATGCAATGTAATGATACGTAATGAAAGAATACAGTAAAAAAAAAAAAAAAATTACATCTCAGATGTCCTTTAAGTGGACTTTGTTTGGTTAAAGGACGTCTTATGAAGCATGAGATCAGAATTCTATAATCCAATGTAAATCGCTGCTTGATTCATTTATTTGCTTAACATGTTTTGGACCGTAAACAAGGCGCGAATAGGACACCGGAAACAAAGCTCCCCACAGGAGTTTCCGCACCGGAAGTAGCATATGCTAACGTGCACATAGTCTATTACATACCTCAGTGTCAAAAACAAGTAATATAATATAATATATGACATGCATGCATATATGGTGTGTAATATTACTAATGTAATAGTATTATCTTAGAGGGATTGATCGTGTGTCATTGCTAATCGTGTCTGTCGTTCTGTGGCCGGCTGCGTTTGTCCAACTCCACATCTCGTTGCTGTCTACCACAGCGTGTTTGTAAGCATGCTCACCCTGCCTACGACACCTCGTCCTCGGACCGTCTCCAGAGTTCCTGATAGGCTGAAGATCCTCCAGTGTCTCTCTCTCAGCTGAACCACCTCGTTGCCCAAGTTCTCCAGACGGATACAGTAGCGCCACTGCAGGAAGACAACACAAACAGATTCGAGCTGTTTATTTCTGTGTTTCACTGTCTTTAATTTACATGATAAAATATCAAACTACTCACCCAATAAACATGAGAGTTCTGGGCCTCCTAAGGACAACAAAGAATTAACCTTAGATTTCAAGCAAACTACAGAGGAGCATTTAAGCCTACAAATTAAAAAGAAACAGGCTGTAAGCCAACATCTTGCCAAGCACACCTAATAACACCAATGAAATGTGTTTGAGCTGAGAGGTGGTGGGGCTCAGGCTGTGCTGCAATAACAAATAATATATAAGTAATATCCGTAAAGATCCAGCTACCCTCATTCCCATGTAGAAGGGGATGACAGTGACTCTGATGTTCTCAGTTGTCTCTCTGTGGACGTCTGAGAGCTCCAGCCAGGGGTGGTTCTTCTCTTGCCATGCTTTAAGGGTGTCTCTGGCTGTGAATGGAGGAGCTACAAAAACAAAAAACAGTCACATTAAAAATAGTCTGCTTCTTAGGCATTCTAGGTGGCCATTGAGTGGATCTTATAAGGATCGGAACCAAAAGTCAAACTACAAATGACAGTTTCACATAGGAGGCATAAACTTTAACATTACAAAACTTGCCACTCAAGCACTCAATCCTGCAGAAATTACCACCACCTTTATTCATGAAACTGCCCAGAGGATCGTCACATAAGATATGTAGGTCTGTCACAACTTTATGAAACAACAATGCTATGGAAGGAAACATGTCGACTACATCTGTTAGATATAGAAGAAACCTAGTGGACTTATACAAAACCACAGAGCTGAAAAAAGATCTGCGTTTACTTTTTGAAGGGTTGTACATGAGGAAGCGCTCAAATAGCTCATGCTGGATGGGGACCTGCTCTGTGGAGTTATAAGGCAGAATGTCTTCATGGCTCACATAGTCCAGACCTGAAGAGGAAAGCCAGAAACAGAACCATCATAACCACTAGAGCAGGGCGATACCAAAAATATTTATCACGATATACATTTGAAAATTTGCGATAATGATATAACTGACGATATAATTGACACTAGACAAAATACTTTACAACTCCACAACTTTATTAGTGCAAAAAAACCCCCATCAATTTATTTTCACTTAAACAAGCAGCTGTTTTTTATGTGCATTAAAGTTATATAAAAATGTAACAGTGCAAATTCCTTGCTGACAGTTTAACCAAAAGGCATTTCCAGTGGACATTGCACCACTTGATGGGTTGTCAGAGCATTACGTCTATCGTAGGGAGGAGCCTCGCGGAGTGATACGTGCTGTGCTTCAACATAATATTACCATATTGCGTGTGTATAAGCTCTTTTTAAGTTTTATGGATATTATACACTGTTATGCTGAGGATATGTCAGCCAATGTCCAGGGTTAAGGTCACTGTCGACTTTCAGAAAAATCAAAGGATTGATTTTAAGTGTGCCGTATTTTCCAAAAAAACACGGTAATAACGACGGTCTGCTAGCATGCTCTACCAAAAATAGTGCTTTGTTGTGTATCTGATGGACGAAAGCTAAACCAGTTCCACACCACTGAAGTTGCAGCATTTTTACAAACCAATTCTGGTTCATCTGTTTCATTCAACGATCCGCTTTCGCCCTTGTCATTCTCCGTCGCCGCAGTGCCTTTTTCGCCATGTGCGTATGAAAACAAAGGCACAGCGCATGTGCGTTTTACCCATATTCTATCGCGATATTTTCTTGTCGTTGCCCAACATTATACCGGTATTACCGTGACCGGTATGATATGGCCCAGCCCTAATAACTACCATTATCAAAAATGCTCTTTTCACAGAATTCAATATTTGAACATTTTGAGTCAATTACGTGATTTCCTCAGCACTAATAAAAGAACACCAGCTGCTTTTTTGCCCTTTTCTCTCTGACAGCAGGTTGGATGTGACTGTGTAAAAATAAGGTGTGCTCTATTCTGGCCAGACTCAAATTTAATGCTTAAAGTATGACCGCCAGTTTCTAATGCCAACTGTAAGACCCCAAGATAGACATCACCAGTAGGGGTGGGTTTTTATAATCGATTTATCGATTAAAATCGATTCTGGCTTGGATAATGTAAAATCGATTTATTAAAATCCTGAATCTATTTTTCAATATAAATTTATTTTGCCCGAAATGCCAGAATCTCAGGTGAAAGATCACAAAATTTCAACAACCACCAAACAGCTAAGACAGTAAATGAGAGCAGCAACACAGATTCTGCACAAAGACAAAACCCGCGGATCAGAATCAGTGAGATGTCGCCTTTCTCACAGTCGGGGCTGAAAGCCGACAGCTCGCTGATTCTGATCTGTCGGCTTTCAGCCCCGACTGTGAGAAAGGCGACATCTCACATCTCTAATTTCTGCCGTTCAATACTGAACAAATTTAAGCTTTTTAAAATTATGCAAAATGCAAAACGCTTAGCTGTGTCTCTAATAAAACCGCTGTAACTTCAGAGGTAATGTTCATGTGTTGATTAATGGTTTTCTTTCGTTTTTGATCTACTGCAGAATATTTTTATAAAATCCCAGGCCAGGAAAATCACCTTCATGTTTTTCTGTGTTTTATCCTCAGCTACTTTGACACAAAGGCATCTGCTGTGATGCTCACACCTTTGATAAAGTCTTGCGTGTGTCAGCTTGTAAATATGTAAATGTACTGATCTGAATTATAATATTTCTGGCTGTCAAAATTTCCCAGATTCAAATCGAATTGAATTGAATCGAATCGTGGATCAAATCGATTCGGGACCTTGTGAATCGGAATTGAATCGATTCTAGAAATCAGTGACGATTCCCAGCCCTAATCACCAGCTATCTCCCGTCTTTTATTATGACAAAAGCCTCCATAAGAAATAAATGAAAAACAAACAGAATGTGAGTCAGATGTATGAGTGAGTGGCTCCTGACCAGTGTGCATACCTGGGATGGCGTACAGAGCCCTGCTGTCATCGTGGTTGGCCAGAAACGTCACTGCCTCCGTCTGGGACCTCTGAGACTGTCACAGCGCACAGACCAACAGTTACATACCTGCAGACCTCAACACTAATAAATACCTACAGTTTTGAGTCCACCACAGTGGAGGGTTTGTCACCTAGCAACATTTCCACCCACTGCACTGCCTGAGATCACACAGACTGTGTCCACAATTGAGCTCAAGACAGTGGTTGACGCTCTGAATAACTACCTGATCTCGGTACAAGCACAAGTTATACTTACTATATGAGGGCAGTCTCTGGTGTCAATGAGGACTTGGTAGTAAGTGTGAGTCTTCCCCTTCACTTCCTTGGAGCCGTGGGCCCCTGGGGGCTCAGGTTTGCTACAGGAAGAAGCACTACAAATTCAGTACACAACACACAAAACAACCACGCAGAAAGTCAAGCTGAGATGGGCATTTTAGCCCAGACCACCCTACCTGTCAGACATGGGAGGGGTGATGTCTCGATCATAGAGGCGGGCGTGCCATGGAAACAAGACGATGCCTCTGTAGCCAAACACGCTGTGGAGAAACAGCTAGGGGAGAGCCCGACAACAACAACGACAAGATAAGGCTTTCAGAAATTATAGATGTAGGACGCTCAATACACACAATGTTGTATGGGATTACAGTCACTAGAAGAGATGATGCAAACAGGTTATATGGACAACACCAAGTTACATAAACTGTTTCATAGGCCTGTTCTCTCTCACTCACTGTTCTGGCGTCGTTCATCATGTACAACTATAGATAAAGGTATGGGCAGTAATGCTGAACACTGGAGCAGAGCTGTTTCTATCCTCTCCACACTGTTGCTTTGTTCTGCACTACTTAAGATCCACCATACAGTGCCAGAGTAGGGAATTAAAGTCTGACCACTAAAGTAATAAGATTAAAGAACAAAGAAAGAAAGTCATGCAAGGGTCACACACACACACACACACACACACACACACACACACACACACACACACGGTAGTCAAAGGGCATTTCTTATTCATCTCTGGGAGTTATGTTAACTAAGCAGTTCCACATGCAGCCTCCCTGGGCAGGCTTCTAAAGTATATTCTCCCCCCAATTTTAACATTTTTTTGTAATATTCTCATATGGAACTTATTTTTTTGGTCCAGAGCCTCTTCCCACTCTCAAACTCCAAGTGCACTGCTTTGGAGGTCTGCTGTGACCTGCAGCAGGCAGAGAACTGCTTCATGAGCCACTAGCCCAAACTCACCAAGGCTACAGAGTAATCTAACTCTGTAACACTGTAATGGTCTGTGTGCAGTAGAAGGGCCTATGAAATTTATGTTAGTCATCTGTCTAATACAAGAGAAGGAACATGAGCTAAACCAGATCATCAAACCAGCTTCAGTATAAGCATGAAGAAATTGTGAAGGTCTTACCTGTCCGGTTTCATATTTGCCGTGCTGCTTCACAGCCTCAAACACTCCCACAGTCTCTAGAATCTTCCCCTCAGGCCTGTTCCTGCCAAAAACAGGCAACATCATTACACTCTGAACTCTGTGTGGGTCTGCATGCTACACAAAAATTGAACCAACAAATCATCATGTATGGGACAGCACACCGGGTCGGGAAATTCCATAGATGCAACGACAGCAATTTGGAATTTGGCATCCTATGGAAAAAATATGCATTAAGCCCTATAGGAAGACAGGTCCTGCAGACTCTCTTCAGCCCTGATCTCAATCACAGTTTGATAATATTGTTAACACTTGACCGTTGAGGTGTTTTGTTCAAATACAGTTCGACTCAAACTCCATGCCCCCATCATTATTTCAGAACAAAACAAACAATACGTGTTGGCACCGATAACAACAGCTGGTCACTTCATATAAATAACACTCTTATTCTGTGCTTCCTGCAAAGCTAATCTTCACAACAGAAATGAAGAGCAGGGATTAATGAGGTGGATATATGGACGGGGAGATTTAATATTACACACCAAGTTGGACAAGTTGTATTGCACAAGAATAATCACAAGGTAAGCTGCTTTTATTAGAAATATGGTTACAAAACAACGAACATGCAGATTCTGAATGAATACCTCTGGGTAAGATCGGGAGGACAATACTGTACTCAGCTCTGATGGGTGACCATCTCAACTTTGCTTGAAAGACAAACCAAGTTCAGATGCAATCCAGGCAGAAATGTCAATCATGACGAGAGAGGGCTGAAAATTGAGTCAACGTGGAAGTGCCAAAAACTGCAGGGGGTATAATGGCCACTCAGTGCTAAAATGCCAGAGTTTACCAGATAAATCTGTCTTGAGGTGGAGATGGTAAACTATATTGTGAAAGAGTGTTTTGAGTGCAGATCTTTTTGGGGGGGGGGGAAAAAAAAAAAAAAAAGGAACTAACTGCAATACGAACCTGTGAAACTGTAACCACTTGGTGACAATGTTTTATCAAAACAGGTTAGGGTTGTTGTCCCACTAATAAGAAACAAGAGAGTGCAGTATTTGCCCTGAGGTCAGGGTGGTGCAGTCTCTGTGCTGCTGGGATAGCCTCCAGCCCAAAGACTTTAGAATATGGATGAACACTTTAAAGATGTCAAATGATGAGAACAAGAATGAGCCTATGCAAACATGCACAACTGGCCTAAGTTACTCTTTAACCCCTCTGGGCTCCTCTTCACTTTCTACTTGTGCAGCAATCTGAGACAAGTCGATACACTGTCCACAGATAATCGCCAATCTAAATTTAGCCACACTGCTACAAACTCTGGACCCAGCCTCAGCCAACAGCTAGCCCTTGTCAACAACACGCCTTGCCAAGAACAGAAACTATCCATGTCACTATCCATCCATTTGGGTTGGGGATTTGTGCCATTGAGCAGTCAACATATCACAGAAAAGCTTGGTAAAAATATAAAAATATCAGTATGTCATCAGATATCATTACACAAGGAAAAGGTTGCATAAACAAATCTTAACGATACAAGAGTGTGCTGATTCACCGCTGCTATTCCAACCAGCGTGTGGGCACTCACCCACCTGTCCACCCACCTTTACTCTCTCTCACAGAACAGATAAATCAAGCACACTCTGCCTCTCTTTCTGTCCACAGCTGCAATCTTTGGGCTTTCACTGGTGACCATTGAGGACGTGAAACCAAAGCTGAGAAATCAATAATGAGCTAACCATTTCACTGTCCACACAACTAATTAATAAACATTTAGAATATCTAGAAAAAGACTGAAAGCCAGAGCTACAGTACAATAAAAGCATGAGCAGTAAGCAAAGTTAAAATCTTCACTACTCCTTGGGAGCTTTACTACGGTCTTTTCTTACAGTAGGTTGTGTTTCATCTCCCTCCCTCACCTGACACAACTCTACTTTCTTGTCTGCTGGCTCTCTTTTCTATTGTCTCCATTGCGGCTCTGTTCCTTGTGTCATATCAACACTTCACAGTTTACAGAGCAGTTCCATTATAAATTTGAGCTACAGATACATACTGATCCAGTTAATCTGAAACTTTAATTTTTCTGTTGCTTCTACTAGAGATGACACGTTAACCTGTTTAACATCAACTTCACTGGCACTCCTGCTTACACACGTCCTTTCAGCATTTTTTTCCTGAGCACAAACAATGTCAGTTCATATATTTTTAACCAGCTAGTCCATGCCTGGATTCCTTCCAAGCACACATCTCTGATTCCTGCCTGTGTTTGCTACTGAGTCTTCCTGATACATCCCAGTCTTGCAGAGACAGGGAAAGATTGCAGAGTGCTTGGATGTCAGCTCACGGCTCTTCTTGCCAGTCTTACTGTACATTAGATCACTGAAGTCATGTATAAATTTACAATATTATACAAGCTTTACAGTTAATACTTGCAAGCCTGTACTGAATTTTAAGGCCTGATAATGACCCGGGGAATTATATGCCCAATTTTAAAATTAAGAATAACTAGATGAAGTGTTAATCTTAAAGAAATACTGCTTTTGTGGTTGCTGCAATGCTGTCGGTGGTTAATACAACTCCATTTTTAGTTTCAGTATATAATATTTGGTACAAGCCTGTCAGCAGTAAGACAATTAACTTTATTTACACCAAGGTAACTCTCCCATTACCAGGTCTGACTGTATAAGATCAGTCCACCAATCATCAACGATTAAGTATTGGGTTGATTTAAGTCCTAAATAACAGGAGAGGCAAATATTAACACACAAAACTGAGATACTGACAGGGAGCCAACAGGTGTCTGAATGATGTTAATAAGACAGTGCTTCTGTGCAGCCTGCAAACTGCAGCACCAAATGTTTTAAGGGTCTCTCAGTTGTTCTCTTCACTAAAATGACAGTGCCAGCATTAATAATAAGGAAATAATACAATACACTATCAGGATAACGCAGATATTGCTGAATAACTTTTCAAAGCCTATATTTGTGCTACTAAATTCTTTCAAAACTGCCAAACCACTGAAGAAGAATCTTCCCAAATGTTTACTGTGTAGTTAAACATGTACTGAATTGACGCCATAGGTTGGAAGCAGTAACAACATCAAGTGCAGCTCAACTAATGCTGGCAATGCTGGTAAATCCTCCTCTTTCAGATGGACTCTAAAGTAGGGCTGGGCAATATGAGGAAAATCTAAAAATCACAATATTTTTTTGGCTACATCACCATATATACACAGTGATATGTTTAACCTCCAAAATCCATATAGAGCCTAAAATTGCACTGGTATACGCATTCAAATCGACCATTCAATGTTCTTTTTTCCCCTTCTTTGAATACAAAAAACCTGAATGAAATGAAAGGTTTTATTTCAACTACTTTTTAACCATTAGTTCTACACAGAGATTTTTCACAAATGACTCTACAGTCACAGTAAGTCTCTCTGTGGTCAACACTAGACCTTTAACAAAAGATCATAGCAACAAAAAAGGACATCAAGCAATAATTCACAAGACAATATAAAACAACCGAAATGAAAAGGGTGCTTTTTATGCTTATGACGTATAAAATCTATACAATAAAAAATGTGATGACCTCAAATTACAGAAACAAAAGTCTAGATAGTGACTACAAAAACGACTGACCAAGAACAGTCACAGGAAATCACTAGGGGTGCAACGATACACAAAATTCACGGTTCGGTTCGATACTTTGGTGTCACGGTTCGATATTTTTTCGATACAAAATAAAAAGTTCATGCCTTTTTAATTTGTCATTTATTAAAATTATAAATATATATTTTAACTCAAAAGTACAGTTTTTAAATTTAACCCTAACCCTTGTGCGT